ATTCCTTTGGTTACATCCAAACAAATATTCCTGACAGTGGTAAGACGAACCCTAACCATTTCCACGTTTTTTGTTTGTGATGCTTTGAATTCGAAAAAAAAAGCTACAGATTTTGTTTGATCTTTCTTCAAATCCATGGATATGGAGAATCATCGCTCTGGTTTCACATACATGGGTCGAAAATTCAGCGATTTAAGTGTCAACGATAACTCCTCTGCTTTCAGCGATTGTAACAGCGACAGATCCGGCGAGTTTCCGACTGCTTCCTCCGAGAGCCGTCGTCTTCTCCTCTCTTGCTCCTCCGATAATTCCGATGATCTGATCAATCATCTCGTAGCTCATCTCGATTCCTCATGCTCGATCGATGAGCAAAAGCAAGCAGCTATGGAGATCAGGCTATTATCCAAGAACAAACCTGAGAATCGGATCAAAATCGCTAAATCCGGTGCGATTAAACCGTTGATTTCTCTGATCTCGTCTTCGGATCTTCAACTTCAAGAGTATGGAGTCACTGCGATTCTGAATCTCTCGCTTTGCGACGAGAATAAAGAGCTGATTGCTTCTTCAGGTGCGATTAAACCGCTTGTGAGGGCGTTGAAAATGGGAAACCCAACGGCTAAAGAAAACGCTGCTTGTGCTCTTCTCCGATTATCTCAGATTGAAGATAACAAAATCGCGATTGGAAGATCAGGTGCGATTCCTCTCTTAGTGAATCTTCTAGAAACAGGAGGATTCAGAGCGAAGAAAGACGCATCAACGGCTTTGTACTCGTTGTGTTCAGCTAAAGAGAACAAAACCAGAGCTGTTGAATCTGGAATCATGAAGCCGCTTGTTGAATTAATGGCGGATTTCGGATCGAATATGGTTGATAAATCGGCTTTTGTGATGAGCTTGTTAATGTCGGTGCCGGAATCGAAACCGTCGCTTGTGGAGGAAGGAGGGATTCCGGTGCTTGTTGAGATCGTTGAGGCAGGAACACAGAGACAGAAAGAGATTGCTGTGTCGATATTGTTACAGCTTTGTGAAGAAAGTGTTGTCTATCGAACCATGGTGGCTCGTGAAGGTGCGATACCACCGCTTGTGGCTTTATCTCAGGCGGGAACGAGTCGAGCTAAGCAAAAGGCAGAGACTTTGATTGAGCTTTTAAGACAACCAAGATCTGTTAGTAATGGTGGTGGAAGATCGTCGGAAATGTGAGTTTTTAGAAAAATTTATTACTTTTTACACTTTTTTTTTCTTCTACCTGTTAATGGGAAATTATACAATC